AAGGCCACCATGAAGGCTAATCCCCGTCGGGCTTCCCATTTGTCCTTATTTCCAGCATGTGTTAGTCCTGTATTGGGTTCCTCAAAACCTTTGGGGTTACCATACCGGTGATATAGGAAGTGTAGTGTACAACACCCTTCCGCCAGATGCGGGTCCTGAATATCCCGACTGATGTTCAACAAGTCCAAAAACCTATGAAGAGTTGTCGGTCGTGGGGCCAAAGGGTATCTACCGCGGAAGTTCCCGTTGAGACCGGCATATCCGGCAATTTCTTCCAATGTGGGTGTGAGTTCAAAATCTGAAAACCGGAGTACATTACGGGTCGGGTCCCAAAATGGTATCAGTGCCTCAATGACATCCTTCCTTGGTCTGATTTTCAATAAATCTACAAGACCGCCCAGGCTTTTAACCACAGTATCCCTGCTTCCTTTTCCCAAGTCATGCCACCACATATGGAGTTTCAAAGGGATCTCGCTCAGGACTGAGAAGGTTTCGATGTCACTTGAATTCATCCTGCACATTATTTAGGGGAACTTAATGATTTATTTTGAAAAATGGCTATTTGTGCAAAAATTCTTTATTCAGAAAATAAGGACTTGGATTTGCAAATACGGCCTTTCAGCACTTCTGGGAGGAAGATTTTAAGGCTGTGCCCGCAAACCATTTAAAAATGACTCAAGGTGGCTATTCTTGCAAAACGGCCTTCCAGCGTCCTTTTGGGGACATTCGGCTTATTTAAACAGGAATGGCATCACCCGACTTATTTATGACACAAAATTGGCATTTTTTGGTTATTTTTTGCAAAAGGAAAGGTTGGACCCGATGAGGGTTGCCTACGTATCTCACATCCGGTGAGAATCAAACCGGCGTAGTTCGGGCAGATTTGCCAAAATCCAGCTATTTTGAAAAAAAATCCGGCAACATTTCGGTACTATTTGGGCATTTGGTTTCTCACAACAAATGGTTACCCTCCTTTAGTCCTAACACTGCTTATTTCAATAATTCACTCATTTAGACAAACCGGTCAACATGCAAATCCGAGCAAATAAATGCGCAAGTAGCACATAAGATGCATCAGGATGGTCAATTTGTTTCAGGTCACCTGTCCTAGACGGACCCAACCCCTGTGTTGAGTCCCCTAAGTCAAATGCACATGATGCAAACAAACGTCCTACTAGGGATCCGGCATGTGGTTTTGTTCTTCTAGGCTTAACCCTAGGTTTATTGGTCTAGACCTGGCTTACCCGAGCGGACAACTCGAGCCGAGGGGGAGGCAGCGTACCGGGGATACAGAAGCTCCGTCGGCTTTGCAACTTATCCAAACCTCGTTCTAAATGGGAAAAGACTCTAAACAGAAGAGAAGCTACACGAAGTGCACCCTTCTCCATGATGTAGATGACTCAGAAAGAGGAAGGGAATCGCGACAGTTTATATATACAATTTCAACAAATATCAAAGCGGTAAAACATTTAGCACATATAGCATGGAACATGTAGAAAAATCAAATAAAGCCAAATATAACAATTGTACTAAGCTCGAATTCTTGAACCCTGAACCGAAATTCTGGATTCGTATCCCCAGCAGAGTCGCCAGAGCTGTCACACCTCTTTTTTACACACCCACCCCGAAGGATAAATGTATAAGGGAGTTTTTTCATTTAAAGTGACATTATTCGAAATGGGATTATTTATTTATTTTTAGAGTCGCCACTTGGGATAAGATTGGCTTTTGGTGTCCCAAGTCACCGGTTTAATTTAAATCCCAAATCGAGGAAAAATTCGACTTCCCAATTGGAGTCTGCGAACCAGAAATTCTGAATAAGGAATTCTGTTGACCCGAGGGAAGGTGTTAGGCACCCCCGGATCCCGTGGTTCTAGCACGGTCGCTTAAATTATTATAAATGGCTAAAATCTGATTTTTATACACGTTTGAACCTATAGTGCAATTTTTCAAGATTATTTGCCGCTTTTAATTATTTTTTACGAAAGTGAACGCCGTTTAAGAGCGTGCCTTTGGATCACGTCACATGAAATGCACCCGGATCCTCAACACCTCTTATTCAACGTTTTAGGATTTGGATTTGGGTTGCGCGAAACGCGTACCCGTATTTAAGAAGGTAAACTTATTAAAACGTGCCTATAGCGACTAGCGGATTATCATCTTTGCAGGGAAAACCGTAAAATTCGCTAAACGGCACGTCCCGAATTCTAAGCATGTTATTATAAGCAACTAATGAGGGCCTCGCTATCTATGCAATTTTATTTAGCGAGGTTCATCTCGTTTTATTATTTTATGGCTAACCTAAAGTAGACTAAGATTTTCTATTCATTTCCGTCTTTAAAGGGGCCTAATTAATTCACATTTATAAATTCGGGCCTCGAATTCAAGTCCGAATTCAAACAAAGGGGAAACCCTCTAATTCGAACCCG